ATCATAGCGGACGTCCTCGTTCCTATAATCGGCATTGATTTTCTGCAATTCCACAAAATACTGGTAGATGTCAGAAATAGGAAACTTGTCCTTGCCGAACAGAGTAAGGAAATTAGAGGAATTATATCAAATGAGACTTCCATACATTTATTAGTTAAACCTCATCATGAGAACGACAAATACGTCAATTTACTTAATCAGTTTCCAGATTTATTACGACCGAGTTTCAAACACGACAAACCGACGCATACCGTCGTTCACCACATAAAGACAGAGGGTCCACCTGTGTTCGCACGTCCAAGACGCCTTGATCCCTCTCGTCTGGCTATCGCAAAGAACGAATTCAACAAAATGATTGAGTTGGGCATCATACGCCCCTCCGATAGTCCGTGGGCATCACCGCTTCATATGGTACCTAAGAAAAACTCTTCCGAAGTTAGACCGTGCGGTGACTATAGAGCTCTCAACAGCCGGACCATACCAGATAGATATCCTCTCCCACATCTACATGACTTCACTCATAGCCTATCTGACGTGTCGATTTTTTCAAAAATTGATCTCGTCCGTGCTTACCATCACATTCCAATTCATCCAGACGATGTTCCTAAAACAGCCATTACTACCCCCTTTGGACTATACGAATTCGTCCGCATGCCTTTCGGATTAAGGAATGCTGCACAAAGTTTCCAGCGTTTTATTGACCAAGTGGTACGGGGCTTACCGTTTGTGTATGCTTACATAGATGACCTACTTATAGCAAGCAAAGATGAAAATGAACATCTAACTCATCTGAAAATGCTTTTTGAGAAGCTAAACGAGTATGGGTTAGCGGTCAATCCTGACAAATGTGAGTTCGGAAAACAATCCCTCACCTTTTTAGGTCACGTACTTGATAAGCAAGGCATTGAACCAGTTCCTGAGGAAACACAAGCTATCAAAAATTATCCTTTGCCTGATTCATTCAAGAAACTACGACGTTTCCTTGGGATGATAAACTTTTACAGACGTTTTATCCCTAAATGTGCAGACTTAGCAAAACCACTAACTGATTTATTAAGGGGACGAGCTAAATCATTAGCAATGACACCGCAAGCAATTCAAGCATTTGATCAGTTGAAAAGCGCTTTAAGCACAGAGGCATTACTCGCACGACGAAAGGTTGATGCACCTTTAGCAATAATGACCGACGCTTCTAACGTAGCAGTAGGTGCTGTACTTCAGCAACGTGTCAATGAACAATGGCAACCCCTTGCATTTTTCTCAAAAAAGCTCAACGCAACGCAAACGAAATATAGCACATTCGGTAGAGAACTGTTGGCTATCTACTTAGCCATCAAACACTTTCGCTACATGTTAGAAGGCAATTCTTTCACGATATATACTGATCACAAACCCCTAACTAAGTCCTTGATGCACAATCATGATAAATATAGTCCGCGCGAAATTCGTCAACTAGAATTCATTTCACAATTTGCAGCTGATATACGCTATATTAAAGGCAACGCAAATGAGGCAGCAGATGCACTATCGAGATTAAATATCAATACCTTCTCGATCCCTGATATAGACTATCAAGAAATGGCAAAGCATCAAAAGCTCGATACGGAGCTACAAAAACTTTTGCAGTCTAAGGAAACGAAATTATTATTCCAAAACATCCCCATAAACAACAAGGACACCTTAACTTGTGATACCTCAACAGGCAAAACTCGCCCTTTTGTACCTTTCGGTATGAGACGAAATATTTTTGAGAAATTACACAATATATCCCATCCAGGTATAAAAGCCACTGTAAAGCTTGTCACAGATAGATTTGTATGGCCAAAAATAAACAAAGACGTAAGAAAATGGTCACGGGAATGCGTCCAATGTCAAAAGTCAAAAGTACATAGGCACATCATATCTCCTACCGGAATTTTTCCCGCCGCTAGCGCTAGGTTCGACCATATTCATATCGACATTGTCGGACCGTTACCGATTTCTAATGGTTACACGCATATATTAACATGTATAGATAGATTTACGAGATGGCCCATAGCTGTTCCGTTAAAAGACACGTCAGCATCAACAGTGGCGAAGAAGCTGGTGAAACACTGGATTACAAACTTCGGTGTTCCTACAACAATTACGACCGACCGTGGAACGCAATTCGAAAGCAAACTATTTCAGCAACTTACAGATACTTTCGGTATAAAGAGAATTAGAACCACTGCTTATTGTGGCAAGCCCATTTGGCCACTGTATCATCTGTCTATTCATTGTAACTTAGACTCGTAATTCACTATGTTAATTTCGGTGTGTATGATCGAATGCATGTCTGTACATTAACTTTTAAACTATTTTCCTATTGGTTTCAACGTGCAGATAATCGATAGTCTATCCACACCTGATTAACCCTCAAAAATATATATGGATTTTTAACAAACTCACACTCTCTGTTCCCATCGTGTGCTTGCTCACAATACGCTTGTGGATTATCATTATTCATTAATAATAAACTATCTCCATAACTGGTGTTCAGGCTTCTTAATAATCTCGAGTAAATCCGTAATTCTACTAGGAGATTAAGCCTACCTTAAATACTCAGTTACGGAATATTATTATTTGGAGTCAGATATTAAGGACATTATCCATAACAAGTTCAAGAAGGGAAGAACAGGATTACAACCAACATTACCACCCGAACAGGAGGTGAGAAATCCAGGACACATCCTGAATGCACAGAAGCAAACAATCAAGTGGAGAGGAGTATTGGATGTGGTAATAGGAAATATGTGGAAGAACTAGGAATGACGCCAAACCAAGCTGCAAAAGAAGAAGGTAAAAGACAACTACGTGAGACTGACAAGGAAATAAAGTGAACTAGAGCGACCAGTCATGAACGAAGTAGGCGAATCAATTACTGATATTTAAGGACAGTGAAACATATGAGTAGAACACATTGAGATGTTCTTGAGCAGATCGACCTCTTTGAACCCACTGGAAATCAAAGCAGCACACACAGACCTTCCTGAAGGTTATGCCGCGCCAACGGTCGATGAAGTCACTATGGTCATCAGACCAACCAAGAGAGTGATAAGGCAGAAGGACCAGGCAGCATTCTAGCTGAAGTTCAGAGTAGAAGTAATCGCGAAGATGAACCACATCCTCTTCCGAAAGATTTGGATAGAATGACAAATACCGACAGTCTATAATGAAGGATACTTCATCAATATACAAAATAAAGGGGAGTTGAGCAAATATTAGAGCTAGAGGCATCACACCATTATCAGTACGAGGCAAAGTCCTCAACGGAGTTTTGTTGAACAGAATGAAAGATCTAGTCGACGCTGAACGTCGATACCAATTGGCCAGGTTTCGTAAGGATCAACCATGAACCGATACAGACGAAACAAAACGAATAGTTATCGAACTATCACTCGAACGGAACTCGTCGTCACATATCAACTTTCTTCACTAAGAGAAAACCTTTGACAATGTGGATTGGAGAACATTATTGAACCTTCCTCGACATTGCAGTTTAGATGGGAAGATTTACACTATTATACGGAATTCTTGCGATGAGCTACTTTGCAAAGTCGTTAATTGAGAGTAACTCACAGATGCATTCCAAGTGAATACCTGTGTCAGATAAGGCTGCTTACGCTCGTCCTTCCTCTTTCATCTTGTTGTTAACTAGAATGTGAAGACCTCCACATCTCAGGTGAAGCACGGAATGTAGTGAACAGCTTGGATGCAATCAGACGATTTGGATTTCACAGATGACCTGACTCTTCTATTCCATATACAGAAGCAAATGTAAGTGAAAAGAACCAGTTTAGCAGCAGTCTGTGTGGGAGTAGGTCCTAACATCCACAATGGAAGATGCGAGAACCAACTTGATCACACTTGATCGAGAAGCCCTCGAAGTGATAGAAAGGTTTTCTTACCTGAGCAGCATCACTGATAAGTAAGTGGGACCTTATGGAGATGTGAAGGCACAGATTGACAAAGCGATGTCAGCATTTGTACAATTGAAGAATATCCGGAACTCAAAATAACTGTCTTATTACACCAACGTCATAATTTTCAATACAGACTTCAAGACAGTTCTGTTGTACGAAGTTAAATGTTGAACATCCACCACCCCCACCATCCACATATTTTGATCGGACACTATCAGCATTAACGTACTATGAAACGAAACAAATCAGCTCCCAGATGAAGAGGAAATTGGGAAAAAACATTGGACGTGGGTGGACCACGCTACAGAAATTTTCAAAATGCATGAGGAACCAAGCTCTAACTTGGAATCCTCAATGAAAAAGAAAACATGTCAGACCAAATAACATATTCAGCCTGGAATTGTGGGTAGACATCAAAAGAATAAATAGCACTTGTGAATAACTGGAAAGGAAAGAACAAAACAGTGACTTATGCGCCCGAATGGTTTTAGTGGCCCTTTATCTGACTCCAACTGGATCATATGAATGTTATTGAAATACATATGTCGACTATCCTCGTATGCATTAATCGACTTAATCCGTGTTAGTGAATAACGGAATTAAATAAACCAAATACGGGAATAGATTTTGAATATGCATTTTTCATGCACCCATTGATTTGAACAGGCAATCAGGGATACAAAATAAAGGAGGGAGAACGAGGCGAAATGATGCGCATCGGAGGTGTGTGAGCCAATGCGATTTGGTCAAGCGTTAATTAGTATTTATAGTCACACGAAAATAAGCTAGTCATGTGATTAGTAGGACATGATATACACACACGCTCATATAAAAAGTCAGGATTGATAAGTGAATAATTAACAAGGTCAAAACGTGACTCAAAAGGAATGGATAAATTTGCCTGTCCAGAAGCTAGGATAAATTTTTGTGGGCTTAACATAGTAACCGACACGACATGGTAACGGGTTATGTTAGTAAATAAATAATAATAGACCGCTATAGTTGCCTTTTTACTATCGTATTTCCATTTTACATTTACTAATGCTGATATACCCATCATATGTTTTATTTGTGGTCAGTAGTAGTTTAAATCAAATACAAATTAATAATAATCAGTTCACTACAGAATTCTGGGGTATTGTTAGATGAAACTATTTAAAGTATTCGGGAGAGAGTTTTAGGTTTCTTTCACAAGAATGAATACCCTGGGTTCGATCCCCGCATGCAGTTTTGTGTATGGGGATGGCTAAGGAGCCCCACTTTGGGACGAGACGACTGTTCAGTAATTTTAGGTTTTACTGTTCTATAGTTAACTTTATCCAGAAAAAATAACATTTGTTTGTTCGGACTTGTTAAATACACGTTCATATACCAAAGAAGTGATCGGAAACCTATTTCAATAGTGTCTGACTGTAATTATTTTCGAGGAGGATCAGAATACTTTGTTCATTTGCCGATTAACTCCACTCATTAAATTACTTGAAGCATTACATTTGTTTGTAATCATGTCAGTGCATCGATAGTTTTTGAAGCATTTCTGTCCTTACCAGATTACAATGAACAGATCGAAATATGATCCTGTACTATAGTGATAGGGTATATTGTTTATTAATAGTGATACAAGGTTTGAGTGTTAGAAATTCTAAAAACCGTTCGTCAAGTATACTGAGTGCTATGAAGCGATCAAATCAACCACAAATGCTCAGTTATATATTTTCATCGATTTAGTTAACTTGATGGCATTCTATATTTTTTCTTGTCTTCTAATTCCTTCATTCTTCTTGCTTTACTTTGTTGTATTCGTTATCATAAGTCGATTATACTGGTCTTTTGTTTGTGTGACTAGCCATGTATCTCAGGCTATGCACTTTGCACAATTTCGATACGGCAACTAGATGAGGTAGATCTATAGAAGTTTATTAGAAGTACTAATTACTCTACGTTTTATACAATATCTACGTTACAAACTTTGGTCATGACCATATTCAAATTCGCACTTCAGTTTCCATTTAAAATTTATTTACTTTCATTTGTACGTTTATTTTAGACCTCCTATTCCCTACTGTTTTCTTAAAAATCAAAAATGAAAGTGAATGACTAAACTATTAAATTCATGTTATAATTTTATAAGTTAGATAGAAGTGAATTTTTTGTGTATTCGCATAGTAAAGCTTTATTTAGAATAGATGATATTCAGTACCAAACAGAACAAATTTCAAGTAAACAGTGACATTTACCTTTTTTAAACAATTTTTCTAATTACATACTGTGGTTCTGGTTAAACTGAGAAAGGTAAGAAGAAGAGCCTAGACGAAAAGTACATTAAACTTGGAATGAAAAAGAGAGAATAGAGAACAAAATATCAATGGCAAACATGAACGCGTTCACAATTAGAACATGAAATTTATTAAAACGTTTTGGCAGATTTTAGTGAATGGTCTGCGGTTTGAAACCCAGATAAAATCGGTTTGCAGTATTATTCCCTTTTTCTAATGAAATCCTGTGAAACAACTTCAGTAACTTTCTTTCTTTCTGCGATTCAGAAGCATAAACAGTTCATCTTAGAACAGAATTCAGTAATCTTAGTTTTAATGTCTAATGAATTGTTGTTGAATCATTGTATAAGTTAACCTTTTCTAGTTCCCATCATTCGAATCGTTTTTTCTGATGTGTTATATTCACAGAGTTGACTTAAAAGCACACAGCATTACAAGGTATCTTCGAATTGATGAACTACCTTTCGAGATATGTATCATCCTTAATTCCGATATTTTCGCCACATAAGGTAATCAGTTATCTATTGGCCTAATTGGAACTAGCTATACAAATGTTCAACTTTAATTCCATACTTCAATCTCATTCGTGTAGTTTACTTTTGATATCCGGTACGCAACAATACGATTGCGTTTTCATTCATACGTGTCCAAACCAAGTTCAGATTTTTTTGTAAAAATGTTTGGTATTAGGTAGATAATTTTCACCATGGTCAGGAATCTGTATTTTCCAATTAGTGAAAAAAACTAAGTTATTTTTAATGACATTTCGTTATTTAGTTTTAAAAGCTTTATCAAACAAATCGGAATTTACAAAAATCTAAGTTTATCTATGGTAAATCGGTCAAACTTCTGAATAAATAATCTTATGATGTCAAGTGAATGGACTGGTCAAGAAAAAACGGGGTGTAAATTGTTGGGTTTGATATGTGAATAAATTCTAAAAATGTGATTACAATTTTTCCGTTTTCTACATTTTATCGACAATGTTAGTTAGTCTAGATAATTCTATCCAATGTGAAGTGTTTCTGCTATAAGCTGTTCTTTGTGACTTTTAATACTTTTCTGAAAGAGTTCAATATTGTTACCGTCAATCGTTTGGTCTGATATTATAGTATGTAGGCCAATGGACGAAGATTTTTCAATATAATATTTGGAAAAAGCGTTATATGGTGGGATGACTGATGTAAACACGATTGTTTTTACTTTCATTACTTTCAGGGCAGTAGGGATGGAAACTATAGCATGCTCTGCTGATCTCAGTTGGCCTACTAGTCAGCTCGGTAATCTGGTCCCATTCGGAGCTAATGATACCACTGGTAAAAATGTCACATCAACAAGTAGTATAGAGCATCCAGGACGTTCTGGTGGTCCTGGTGTAGTGCCATTAAGATTAACACATTTAGTAAGAGATTTAACATTACCAGATGTGACTGGTTGTTGTTTTGAGTTACACAGTTCAGATGGTCGACGTTCATGTCTACTCCGTGCACCAGATGCTCAAGAAGCTCGAATGTGGTTTGATGCAATACACAGTAAAATGAAAATTATAAATAAATCTTATTTGGCTGAACTAAATCGTCTACTTCCCCCAACCCAAGTAAGCCATAATAGTTATTTTATCAAAATTTTTATTTACTTCACAAAATAATTGTAGATAATTATATCTTATTTCTTGTTAAAACAACTCTATTTTTATCCGTTCTACTACGGGGAGAACTCATTGAATCAGAAATAGAAAGGCTAGCTTTAATGAATACAAAATACCTGCTATAAATAAATTAAATGACTGCTTTTTTATTTTTCCAAATAGAAATTAATATGAGCTAGCTTTCAGATGATACACGGTTAGAACAACAATATAAATCTATTTGTATGTCATTTTTTATAAATTTTAGATATTGGTTATTCCCTTCTATATAATGTAAACGAAAATATTTTGCATAGTTAATGTCTGTAAACTGATTCAGAAACATAATCCAGTTTTAAGAGCTATTAGTGACTGGAGTAAAAAGTTAGACATTAGTGTATCAAACGTCCCGATTGTAAAATAAAAGTTTGAATTCTTAACAGATGATGGATTTCCCTATTATTATATAAACAATGTACTAATGAGTAACAGTGAATGTTTAACACAGGTGTTGAGCTTTCATTACTAAACATAGTGCCCCTTGATGTACAATTTAACTTAGTGTTTAGGTAATCTGCTGAATTAGATAAACTCCTATTAGTACATATGATTTCTGCATAATATTGTCTTCCATTTGATAATGAACTTATATGAGCATCAATATGCTTCATCAAATTGAAGAAACAAATTATTACAATTCTAACTACTTTAGTAATTTTTTCACAGCTACAACTCACCGCTAACAGTCCATAGAACTAATCAAATTTTGGTATTATCGAACAACTGATTAGATATGAAATCAGATAATCTCTGTGACGGTCCTTGGTTCGGTCTCTAATTGCATTGTGGGAGCCAATTGTAAAATAGTCCTAAGTTTCCAATGATTATCTAGTTAAGATCAATCGATTATGTGAACATTTTTCTTGTTATGCCATCTCCACAATCTTCCAAGCTAACTGATAATATACCACAGAAAATCTCAGAACATTTCATTTACTTTCGAAGGATCAGAAGCTTAACAAATCACATACTGAATATTAGGATTTCATGACATTATCTTTCCGACAAAAATGTGTAATTTTATGTCGTATTTCAGTCCAAATACTTTATTCCACTCACTTATTTATATACATCAAACGCAAGCGTAGACTTCAGGCTTCTTTTCATCGGTATCTCTGAAGCACTCCTCGTATATGTTTGGACTATCAAGTGAATAATATTGAGATCAGCCACACGGTACTAGGAAAGGTTGGTAAGTCGGTTGACGGGGATTGTAATAATAATAACAATAGTTGTTGTGTCTTTAAGCCATTCAGCTTAAAGTACAGAGGTGGTATCAAGATATTTAGCATGTGTGTTTCAATCAAACAATGATAACTCATAAAATCAAAACAATAAATCAAACATGAAATGACCAGCTACTTAGTGTGAAATCTTAGAGTGTCATGTAAAGAGAACAATGAAGCATTTGACAAACATCGAGGATGTTCCTCTATTGACTATTACTAAATAATAACTAGATTATCAATTTATAATCCATTAAAGTGAAAGATAACTTATCTAATCTAAGGAATGGATAAGCAGAACGTTCAAATTACGATTCAAATCAGATAATGGCTAGTAGTAGAATCCACTTAGCCACTAACAAGGTAGGTGTGCCTGCACCTCCTAAAACTTATCTGAGTAATCCACTCCGGATGTACACGTATCAGTGGAGACCAACCAATCACAAATGTTAACAACGACGGGAGAATACAGACCCTTACTGTGTCGTCATTGGAATAGTAGCATCACTCCCAACACAGTGAAATTTAAAGGTTTTATGCTTCTCAAAAGAATTTACGAAGTACACTTCAAAACTGATTAGTTGTGAAGATGAAGATCGTGTCATACCGCATAACAGATGGGATTTATCAATCGACTTGGAAATATCAGACTTATCATAAAACATTAAGGTCGTAGATTTAAATCTTTGTGTGAGTTGTTGATGGGTAGTACAGTCGAAGAGCCTCTAGCTAGAATCGAACTATTGTCCCATAGTCTCCATTTCTCAATAGTTATCTGACAAATCTCTGCTCGCCACGATATACGTGTTCAAAGTAGTGTAAAACGTCGTCACAATATCGCTCGAATGAATGAATAAATGAACATTGATGGTCCCATCCTCATTACTAACAAGAATTAAGAGTAATTGTGGATTCTCAATTTCATTTGCCAATAAATGACAAAAGCACCACAGCTCACTGTTGACTATATTGTTTTGACAACTCTAAAACAGGTGCAGTTTCCTTCCCAACATTTTGCTTAAAAGTATTTTGTAATGAGAAAACCTGAACTTTGTCTAGTGTTGTGTTCTGTCTTCTATTATCTGTTCATTTGTCAGGCTTTGATTCAACTAATTCCATCTCCGAAAGTGGTCATGACTGAGTCGTTATATCAACTGGAATAAGTAGTTATATGATTAACTATATATCTCCTACAAACTATTACAAAGTGAAATGGACGCTTCTCATCAAAATACTGTTACGAAATCAACCATTGAATCAAACCGTTCATATCTGCTTCGTATCTGCAGATATTTAAATTACCGTTCGAATACACTTGTCTTATGATTTTCTGTGAGTTTTCCAAACACAGTTGCAGTACATATGTAACAAGGCGTTTGTGAAGATGGAAATCCTCCCATACTATTAATCACTGCTTTTGTAAACAGGATGGAATTGTGAATTATCTCAGCCTAGAACAAAACGCTGTAAGCTTAAAGTAAAAACTAGAAATCGTTCACCATGTATTCACAGTAGATGTCCTTATAAGTTCGGTATTAGACCTAAGACTGTCTTCTAGTTATTTTACACGTTTTGGACCAGTTTAGAAAAACATCGAAACATCTTTAATGCTTATCAATTTACGATTATCCATGGGACTTTCTTCCATTATTTAATCGCTGAATGTCACTCACAAACATCATAGCTCAGTGTGCGTGTCATTCGCTCTAGCTCCACATACTGGTAATATCATTGTTGAGTAAATATCAACGAGAAAGGTGTAGAAGATTGAAAGGCCGACCGATTCTTTCAGGATGAAATTTTGTTTTTGATGTTTTAACAAAAAGAAGTACTTTTTCATGTTGTTGACTGTTGTGTCAAAGAACTGTAAAGTTAGGTAGATCATGAAACTGTTGTGTAATAACGAAAATACTTCATGAGCTTGTCTATTTGGGTTTTCAAAACCATCATAAAGCTCTTACTTCTGGGAAAGAATAGATTCAAAAAGATGCATGGAATATTCTTTACACACATCTTTCAAAGAAATAACAGTAATGAATTTGTATTGAATTAACGGAGTGAAGCCTATGAGGCCTTAATCAATGTCAATCGGTGACACTAATGATCACAACACTGATTTGACACTGGAAAATGACCAGCTATTCTTCGAAATAATTGCCAAGGTATCAAAAACATCTAGATGATTTATTGGCTGTCTATCGGATGAGTAGATGAAACAATGGAGTTATTTAACATGTCACTATATAAAGTGACGGTGTCATGACGGGATCTAGTTTCATCTTCAGTTGCTTTAGTAACTATGATGTAACAGAGTTAAATTTATAATGATATTTTACTGCCAGGCTTTATTGTTCTTAATATATCGTAAGAGAATCTTTAGACCAACAGAAAAGATAACAGGATACAGTGGGAATAATCAACCAACTGCCACCAATCTAAACTCTCATTGCGCCCTATCGTGTTTATTAAACTCTCGAAACAACTTTCCGAATATCTTTACTCTAGTTAAGCAAGCAATACAAATATGTTTATAAACACTGTTTTGAAAACGTAATTAGTTGAGAATAAAGCTACCTAACAATAATAGTGCCATTGATGAATGACTAATTTATTCCGTTACTGAGTTGTTTAAGAACTACTATTTACATCCTATAAAAATGAAAGGTTTCCGTCAAGAAAATACAACAACAACAACAACAGAGAGAGATATTACTGCAATTAAATGGGAATTCATGAATGAACTGAATAATTACAGAGAAAATGATTAGGAAAACATACCTTGATAATCTATTAAATATGTATGTGCATACAGTTATCTTGGTCAATTTTTACTCATAAATAATTACTTGTTCGCTCTAATTGTTGAATATTCAATGCTGATTGTGATAATAATTGGCTTATATTATTATTATTATCTACGGAAAATGAAAATGAAGTCACAATTGCATATAATACGATTAATATTAATAATGTCAATAATTATAGCAAATAACTGTAAATTGTATTTCTGGGTGAAAAGTGTATGATTATTCAAGTTGGAATAAGGAAATGATAGAAGTCGTTAAATGCTTGAATCACTCTGATCTTGTCTCCGCCCAACTTCAGTCAGAATTTCTATGACGAAAATTAAGTCTTCCAATTAGGAAGAAGGTCAGATAGTTTGAACATGTAATATTCGAAGAAAAAATTACCATCCTATGGTGTTTTATAAAACATGTGAGTGACTTTGATGATAAGGTATTTAGAGAGTGGTGAGCATACTTGAAAACTAGTCTCAAATTCTATGTAACACCAACTAATGAATGAATCATATTCTTGAACCCTTGTTATCAATATTCACATCCTACACTATTCAGAACACGGATTCTACGAGTTCGAAAGATTGTAACGCGTAACCTATCATAAAATTACTGGTAATAAATCATTTTTGATGTAGATTCATCTTTGATCGATTCATATTCAATAACCAAGTGATAGTGATTTCAAATATGAGAGGCACACTATTATTATTACTGTTATTATTATTATCAAACTGTCACGAGTTAATTATATTGAATCACCTTACTAAGTTGTGCTAACGTCATGAAAACTAACCAGTATCAAGTAGAACTAACTTCTATCAAGCTGTCGAACGATAAGAGCAATACAGTGTGGACTAACCTAATGTTTAAAAGCGGTGGAATTGAGATTGAATTAGTCAAGTTTCAAGCACTATGTTACACGTCTACCAACTTTGGTTTAGGAAGTCGGCCGCTACCACTTCTCATTCATACAACGTACCTCAAAGAACGATTTATATAGTCGTAATACAAGTGATACGGGACAAACTATGATCAGTGTAGTTGCTAAACCAGTTTGAGATATGTTTTACTTTCACATAACATCTGTAATTACCACTAATTAACAAGAGAAGAGGGTTTCCCAAACAGATAAACTTTTATATCGTACAAGCAAAATTGAGTAGAACCGCTACAATTAAGATTCTATGCATAAACTGACAACATCTTAACAATGTGTGTCATCCTCCGTTTTAAGCCTGAATTAGATAAACTTTTAACGGTGTACAAATAAATTTGTTTAATCAGTTTATTGAAGTTTTCATATTTCCCTGATTACTGAGAATAGGGTTATGAGGAAGAGAATTTGAAATATACTTGTCATACAGGTAAAGGATTACCTTAACTAAAATGTGGTCAAACGGAT